GAGGGTCCTGGCTATTGTCCTCGTGCCACAGAAAAGGCTCCGCTGTTTAACTTCTTCCCAGCCCTTGTCCGTGCCTCCTCTGCCCGGGACCCCTAGAGGGTCTGCTGGGAATCGAAGGAGATGGCGTTAGGCTACTCTGGTGGACCCTCTCTTCTCCCGCTGGTCCGCTCGGCCTCTGCCTCCGCCCTCTGTGGCCCTGGAACCGCGACCGCCGCCAGGCTAAACAGGTCCCGCCCTTCCCCTTCTCGGACTCCTCCCAGTTCTCAGCCCAAGGCTAGGTTTAATCTAGCAAGGGAGGAGGGGCATCCAGAGCGACAGCTTGGGAGCGGAACTCCAGAGTCCCCACCTCATCCGCTGCTTCTGCACCAGGCTTCCAGATCAGCTGTTGGCAGGTCCAACTCGTGGTCGATGACTAGAAAACCGCCCTCTGGGTCCACGTTAGGGGAAGGATAGGGCAGACCCCTTTAGCCTGAGTGGTCTAGATTCGGCTCCTCCAGCCACAAATGATCAGCTGCTGAGGAGTTGAGGAAACCTTGGCTGGATGGGAGAGATCGAGCTCTGGGCAAACAGCTTGGTGTCTCAACCCATTTCCTACACATAGAAAGGGAGGAGACTGCCGAAGGCCAAATGAGGTGTCATTGAATAGTAACTGCAAATTGGAGCAGGAAAAGTCATTAATGACCATTTAGTTCCATACCCACATTTTCACAGGGGAGAAAAGTGAGTCTCAGAGAGGGGGAAAGCAAGTTCACTAAAAACAGTCAAGACTAGAACCCAGGTCACCTGATCTTCTAGACTTTCCGCAATCTTTTCCGACATTTCTTTGGGGAGGGGGCAGACCTGGGTTAGAATGCAAGAAGCCCCTTTGATTGTTTGCGTTCACCCCCAAGAGGCCTAAAGCAGCTTACTGTAGAGGTGAGGGTGAGGCACATATGCAAAGTGCCAACCTGAGAGGCTTGAGAAAGTGGGCGGTAAATGTTGACCGGGAGTCCTTATAGACCGCCTCTTTATACTCATCTCTTATCTCTGACCCCTGGTCTTCTCCGCTGAACCCGAGGAAGGCTTCAGCGATGCCACAGCGTGGCACTGTGCGAGGAGACGACATTCTCGGTTCCACTAGGTGAGGAGCTAAACGTATTCAGGGAAAGTAGTAGGTAAGTGTCAGAGACCCACCTGGGAGAGCTACCAAAGCAATCCCCACAGCAGGCTCATTCAGGTGGGACCTGCCATTATCCGAAGGCCCCAAGGTTGTCCTGGGTCTCCTCTCTTCTCATTTTCAGTCTCCTTTGCCAGTACTTCAACAAGGTCACCACCTACTAACTGTGGATGTCCCCCCAATTCTTTCCTGGGCCCTTTCTCCCTCTATGCTAGTTCCATTGGTAATCATACCTGCCTCATTGCCTTCAGATATCACCTTTTTGCTAGCGATTCCCAGGTGTACATATTCAGCCTTAGCCTCTTTCCTGATTTCTAGCAGGCAGCTGGAACTGGCAGCAGCAACTGCCTCTTGGACATCTCAAGCTAGATGTCCTCTAGGCATCTCAAACTCAAAATGTCCAAAACAGAATTAATTATCTTCCTCTCTTCCCAATACTCCCATTTCCCCAACTTCCTTCATTCTGTGGAGGGTAAATCTACCCAGTCACCCAGGCTGACAGTCTGGGTATCATCCTCGACTCCTCACCCGAATTCAGTCCACATATTCAAATTTATTGTCAAATCTTGTAATTTCTACCTCCATCAAAGTTCTATCCATTCTGGTCTCTCCACTCACACAACTATCAATCTGGAGTGGGCCTTTACCTGGGAGGAGAGGGTTCCAGCATCTAGGATGATCAGACAATTATTCATAGAGAGAGTTGACTTTTAGCTGACCTTTGAAGGAAATTAGGGATTCTCAGAGGCAGAGGTGAGGAGGAAATGAACCGCAGGTGTGGGGGACAGTCAGCACAAAGACTTGCTGAGAGGAGAGATGGAATTGGTGTATGAGGAACAGTAAGAAGGGTTTGGACCATAATGCTTGAAGGGGAGTAATGTGTCATCAAGATGGAAAAGTGGCTTGGATCCAGGCTGTGAAGGGCTTCAGATCCAAAACAGAGGAGTTGAGATCTGATCCTAGACTTAATATGGAGTTATTAGAGTATGTAGGACCCTTCATTTTCAGAGAAGTTGTTGCTTTCCCCCAAACTGTAGAATGCAGTTTTGGTGTTCTCCGCCACCCTTCCCATTGTCTTTCCTTCATCTACTAGTGCCCTCATGTGGCTCTTTGACTACCCAAATACCCTGTTTTGGTGCCCCAGAACAAGACAATCAACTCCTAATATGCTGTTAGCTTCTCTTTCCAGAGTAGAGAACTCCATTTAAAACTCTCACTCTCATGGTTAATGGGAAAGCAACCTGATTATTAATAACAAATACATTTATTTAATGCTTAACAAAGAGAAGGTTTTGCTTTATGACCTGAGGGATATGCAAAGATAAGCAAGCTTTAGCTTTATTTTATCTGGTGTGAATGATTGAAAGGTTTAACCATCCCTTGAGATGTTTCCATTATTTTCTTTTCTAACTGATCTATAATCCTAAAGATTTTCTCTATGCGGATATTCCTCTGTCACCTCCTCCTACTACCTAAAGAACAGGGGTTAATAACTTGGCAGCTCACTTCTGAATGATTGGTTGGAGACAGTTTTGAGCATCTATAAGGGTGTGAGTCAATTAGTTTGTAGGGTATGTGTAAATATATTTTTGTGTAAACTTGTACTTTAAGTGGTTCATGAATAATTTTCAGAAATAACTTCAAGGGTATCTACTATAGATATCCTGGCTGGGAGATGCATGAGAAAGACCTAGAAAGACACACCTGGATAGTGAGGCATCTATAAAACCTGCTTTGTCCTTCTTTTGAAAGTCTGTTTTTGCTGATTGGTCTCCCTGCTTCACTTGTCTTCACTATCTTCCACTCAACTTCTAAGTGGTCTTCCTAAAATGAGGGTCTGATCAGATCACTCCCTTATTCAATGAACTCCAGTGGCTTCCTGTTACCTCCAGGATCCAATACAAAACCCTCCATTTGGCTTTGGAAGTAGCCTTCATAACATAGCCCCTTCCTACCTTTTGTTCCCTGCCTCGATCCCCCCCTTCTTCAATCCAGTGTCCATGGCCTCCTTCCTGTTCTTTGCTCCCATGCTTGAAACTCTGTCTCTTCTTGTCTCTGCCTTCTAGCTTCCCTGGTTTTTTTTTCAAGTCTGCGTCCCACTTTGTGCAAGAAGCCTTTCTCAGTCCCCTCAATCTTAGGGCCTTCCCTCTCATACTACTCACAATTTATCCTGCAAATATACTGTTTGCCATTCTCCACCATTTGACTGTGAACTCCTTGAGAGCAGGAATTGTTTTGTTTCGATTTCTTTGTATCCCCAGTGCTTACCGATGCTTGACCCATGATAGAAGCTTAATAAATGTTAGTTGACTGACTGACTGAAGGTCTGGCTCATTCCAGGATCTCGCGTCCTGAGACCGATCTCTCCTCCAATCTGACTGTCCCTGCTTCACTTCCCACTGTTCTTATTTTCCTTAGTATTCGGCATACAGACCCTTCCAGTCGCCAAAGAGAGAATGTCGGGTCTCTCAGCACCTGGGACAGCGCCTGTTGGGAATCTTTTCTTCACTGGAAGCCCTGCGACTTCGGAAGCCAGCACTGCCTCTAGGTCCCCCAGAGCTATATGGGGAAGCCCGCAGAGCTCGATCTAGATTCTTCCCCACCGCCTTTACTTTAAAGCTGCATCCACGAAGGGGATGTTCCTGGGTTAGGGAACAACTGTGAGCCTCGGCTGTGGATTAGGAAGCGAGCGCATCCCTCGGTTCATTGCTTCAGCCATTGGTTTATTCCCCTTATCTATCCTCCCCTTCCCTTCCCCCACGTACCTCAGCCGCTTAGCCCTGCTCTAAGCGCTGGAGAGAGGGGCGGAGGGAGGGAGAGTTAGCTCCGGAACCGCCCAGCACAGATGAGTTGGGGAAGCCCAGTCTGTTTGCAGTAGCGACGGACGAGCGACCTCGACGCAAGGTGAGACTATCGTACATGGCCTTTAAGGGTCAGAGAATGATCCAAAGTTGTAGAGGAATTAGGGATCGATGCTCTCTAAGGTACAGGATGTGACCTAAGGAGTTCAGGGAACGCCTCCACAAATATCCCTATATTTGGCTCATACTCCCATTCCTGGAGCACGTTTAAAATGCTAAAAATAAAACAAACCGGGGGCCGAGCGGGGGACAAGTCAAAGCCTTAATAGCTTCTGTGAATGAAGCCCGCACTGTGCAAAAAAAGATTTAATTTCATGGAGGGGGAAGGGGAGGTATGTACACATAAAGGGACTGTCTGTAAGACAACACGAGGCCAGAAGGCCCAGGGCCCTGGAGAACGGATACCTAGTGGCCGGAGGCGGTGCGAAAAGAGTATCACTGACCATAGATTTAGAGGAGGGACAGCCCCTATTTCACAATTCCTCTGGGTGGGAGCACCCTTCTTTTAGTCCCTAGATTGTGTGCGCATGTTAAGTAGTAGTGGTGGGCTAGGAGGCAGGGGTGGAAGATAGGTGTAGATAGGATAGTGCTGGAGAGGTAAAGAAACCTGGGTTTCTACTGGGAGCAGAGTAGATAATTCCTTCCGAGGCTCCGTGGCAAACCCTATTTTAGCTGTCTAATCTCCGGGTCCTAACCTTTGGATTGCCTCATCACTGCAATCCTGGCCTGGGGTCCCAGTCTGAGCCCTCTTCCCCCGGGCACCTCCTCCCTGTCTGCACCTTCTCTGCCCCGGGGCGTACTGTCTCGACGTCAGCGCGCGAACTAGGAGCAGATGGGGCCAGTAACTGTGCCCTCTCTCTCCCGTGGGATCCACCCCTTCCTCGCCCCTCCCAGCCTTCTCCCTTCTCTTCCCCAGCAGGAACAAAGCCAGGAGGTGGAGCCGGCGGGCGGGGTGGTTCCTTATAGTCTAGGTGGAGGCGATCCGGTGAGCATTCCGCGTCCCAACTGGTGTCTAGTGATCTGGCCAGACCAGCCTGGGAGCTCCGCAACAGATTGGACTTAGCTGTATGTCTCCCCACAGCGCTGAGCCCGACGCAGGGAGAGCCTTCCAACCTAAGATGGGGGTCCCTCGAAGGCCAGGGGACGCCGCAGAACTGCGCAAGGTAAGAGACGCAGAAGCCAGCGGTGGGCGGTAGAATTGGGAAGTGGGAAACGTTAGAAAGTGCCGAGCGTCGCCTGAACTTACATGTTCTCTTAGACTCTGAAGCCTCTAATGGAGAAACGCCGACGAGCGCGCATCAACGAGAGCCTTACCCAGCTCAAGGGTCTCATCTTACCACTCATCGGCAAGGATGTGAGTGCCCGCTCACCTGGGGATTTGGTGGAGGTCACGGAGGGAGCCAAGAGGGTGGAAATCGGTGATGCCCCTGGAGACACCCACGGAGGACTAGGGATCCAGGTTCTGGGGGCAGGCTTTCTGTTGCTCAGGCTGAGCCCGGTGATGGGGCACAGCGTCGCAGCCCCCTAGAGCCTTCTGTCCCCTTGCTCCCCATAGAGTTCCCGCTACTCGAAGCTGGAGAAGGCAGATATCCTAGAAATGACAGTGCGCTTCCTTCAGGAGCTGCCGACGTCCCACTGCCATGCGGCTCCCAGTGAGTGATCTCTAGGCTAACGGGATCTAAGTCAGCACCAGCTTGGGCTCATTCCCTCACCACCCCCCACCCCCACCCCCACCCCGTCCCTAGTTCCTCACTTCTTTTCCTGCGGTCTCAGAGCCTGACTGTTTGCCTTTCTCTTTCCCAGCCTTAGCAGACAGCTACAGAGAAGGATACCGGGCCTGTCTCAGCCGTCTGACCCGGGTCCTGCCCACCTGCAGCCTCCTTGATGGCGAGGTATGCAGCCGACTCCTCGAGCACCTGCACCGAAGCGCCTCCGGCCAGTACCCTCTCGGGCTCCCGGACTCCCGTAGCAGCCCCAAAGACTTGAGCTCTGAGTCCCCAAATAGAATGCGGTTGGCTTCCTCTCCTCGGGAATCTGGCTGTCCTCCTGGCCCCCCACCTTCTGGACTCTGGCGCCCCTGGTAGCCCCCTTAGAGGTGAGGGGGACCTCTTTCGGACCTATATTTATTTGGAATCACAGGGATAGAAGAAAATTGGACAGAAAATCTATGGGGTGAATGGGGTTCCTAGGGCCAGGTGCCCTATCTATTTTTTAGGCCCCAACTCCATCTTCCAGCCTTCTCGCTATCACTGCACTTTGTAGCTTTTAGTTTCTTCACAGAGGAAACCAAAAGGCTTTTTTTTTTCTTTCCCCAATGGGTTTTGTTTTGTTAAACGTCCCCTCCCCCAGTAAAGCCTTTTGCAGAAGTGCTGGGCCCTCAAGGTCACTCTGCTGATTGGGGAGGAGGGGACAAGGGCCCAGTGCACAAAAGAGGGAGATTCTGCCTTGAGCTTGGACACGTTGGCTTCTCCTGGTCCTCAGAATGAGCGTCAGTTCCATTGGAGGCAGAAGATCTACCAGTCCCTGGGACGGGGACTTTGCTGTTGGGTACCCCTCTTCTAAAGAAGTGGCTGGGGATGTTGGCAACACTGAGCTGCCTGAGGCAGGTTGCAGGCTGACCTCCTCCTACCCTGGCCCCCAGCACCAGAACGAGAGCTCTCCTGATGCAACCCTGACCCCACCCCAAGGGAGAGGATGGGTTGTGCAGTGGGATCTTTGCCCGGGCCTGTCTCCCCACCTGGGACAGGCTGGAGCCAAAGCAGCAGAACATAGCTGGCTTCAGATCTGAAGGTGGAACCTCTAGGACAGGAGGAAGAGGGACTGGGAAAGAGGCACTGACTTCCCCAATACGGGGCTGTGGTGCCTTAGAAGGCTTTTGAAGGCACCACAATCGGTTTGTCAAATCCAAACAATTGTTTCTGGGTCCTCGTCCCAGAAGGCTACCGTGCCTGCAGGATCAAAGCCTCTGGGTTTTCCCACTCACCTCCTTTGCTCTGCTTTGCCAATCACCCACTCACATTGATTGAGTGACTACCATATACAGGGTCTTGAGTCCTGTGGGACAGCAAAACAGAAACTCCTGGGAGCCAGAAGCCTGCTTTGCTTAGGGGCTTTGCTCAGGGCCCCTAGAATTCAGTCTCTAGACTGAGGCTGCCTTGAGAGTAATGGTATTCCAGTCTTGGCAACCAGAGCTAGGGAGAGAAACTGAGGTTATGCTCATGGGAAGTAGCTAGCCTCTGAAGGTCTTTTCCTCTTTTTATTTCTTCTCTGTCCGGGGTTGCAGGAAAAGACACCAAAGAGAATGACCCTTCTTTCAGTATCCCCAATTCATATTCTTCCCCAGAGCCTGAATTTCAGCTTTCCTCAGTTGCTCTATATCTACATCAGGCCTCCCAAATCTCCTGTCAACCCCTCTGGTGGCTTCAAGCACAGGGAGAAGGAATCTACCAGATGAAGGGCATCTGGAGTCTCTAGGTAAGGACCCAGAGAAATATTATCTGAAGTTTTTGTTAGAAGGCTGAGGGCCATGAGTCTTCTGGGGGACATAGCTAGTAAGTGTACGAGGCTAGCTTTGAACCCAGGTCTTCCTGATATATATATATACACACATATATGTATCTATACATATATGTATGGATATATATATACACATATGGATATATACCCTAGGCATGTATGTATATGTGTGTATGTATATATACATGTATTATATATAGTTTTGGTACTTTGCGATATAAATCCCTGTATATAGATGAGAAATTTTGTTCCCAAATTCTTACAACTAGTCTTTCAGACTAAGCTTGGAACTTCTTTTTCTGGTGTTTTCTATGTGACATTCTCAAAATTTAAAGGAAGAAGAGCTGTCTGTAATTTTTTTCCTGACATATTCTTATGTGGCTCCTCTCCCCCCTGTCCAAGCAGTTCCACTGTCAGATCTGAAGCCGGCTATATTTTACTGCTTTTGCTTGGCCTGTGCCAGGTGGGGAGACAGGTCCGGGCAAAGATCCCACTGCACAGCCCATCTTCTCCCTTGGGGTGGGGTCAGGGTTGCATCAGGAGAGCCTATTGGTTCTAAAGTCCAATATATTTCTAGTCAGGTTTTTTTCTGGCAATGAAATTACATCCTTATATTTGCCCTCTTTTTAAATGCCTTGCATAGCAACCAAACAAGTAAATGTTTGCTGGTGATGAGGATGAATTGACTTCTTTAGGAAGATCTCTAGTTCCTGGATACCGTGGATTCAGAGAAACCAGTTAAGTGCAGGAATGAGGAATTCCCCAGTTGTGGTCTTTGAATCCACGGGAACAGTAGAAAATTCCCTACCAAGATCTTGTGGAGAAATGAGGAAGCACCTTCCTGATTTTTTCCTGCCAGCCAGTCCCTTCTACATCTTACAGAAAGGGTAGCCAAAAACAAACTGTTGACAAATCCGTAAATGGACAATGAATTCTTCCCCTCCTCCCCTTCTCTTCACATAGAAGCTGAAGATTATGTTTTTTAAAAAAAATTGTATTTTGTTATTTTGAGCCTGGGAAACCTGAGAAACTTTATTGAACAATGGCATTTCTACACACATGAAATCAGAGAAACAGAAGATCGTACTTGACCACCTACTTGTATAGCTTGCATTTTTACAAAGAATATAATAAATTCCTCATGTGGGTTTCAAAGCTGTCTTGTTTGTGTCTGCTTCTAAGCCTCTAATTATTTGGATTTAAAAAAAATGCTACAATGATTCTCATTTATTTCTTTTCTCCAAGATTACACTTTAATTGTGACATCGTGTAGGTAAGAGGATCTAGGCCATAAGACTAACTGCTGCTGAGTTCCCTTTCCAGGTCCTGATATTCTTCTACCTGAGGCCAAGGCAGAAAGATCAGGTCTGGTGTGTCCTAATTTCAGGGTTCACTCACAGCCTCATGATATGAGTTCCAAGGTAAGGTGGTAGAAGTCCAGGTACAATAGTCTGTCTGTATGTCTGTCTGTCTCCCTACTTTCCCCATCCCCACCTCCTTGTATTGGAAATTCTGTTCTTGTTTCTTCTGTAGTAATTGGGTTGCCTGGCCATCCTGACCTTTGAACCAAATACAGTTCACATTAGTGTAGAGATGGGCTGTATTTCAGATGCTGGTGCAAATCCATTTTGAAAATGGTATAGATTTGGGTGACTGGACTTGAGGGAAAATTTGAAGTTGCTTTGCTCAGTTACTCATGAAAATTTTGGGAGGCATTACATATTTGTTGTTGTTGTTGAGTTGTTTTCCAACATTTCTGACTCTTCATTGACCCCTTTTTGGGGTTTTCTTGGTAAAGATACTGGAGTGATTTGCCATTTCACTCTCCAGTTCATTTTACAGATGAGGAAACTGAGGCAAACAGCATGAAGTGACTTACCCAGGGTCACATAGCCAGTAAGTGTATGATGCCAGCTTTGAACCCAGCTCTTCCTGATTCCAGGCCTGGCTGTCTATCCACTGTCACCTAGCTGCCCGTATTAAATATAGTAAAAACCCTATTATAATCCTGGTTTTAAGGAAGAGAATAATTTAGCCAATAAATAGATTTTCTGGTCACTACTATCTGAGGTTTTGTTGGAGGACTGAAGGCCATGAGTCTTTTCTAGGGATAAGGCTATTGATTAGGTGCTTTAGGATGCAGAAATCATTGTGTCTCCTTGACAGACTTACCTTGTTACAGGGACGCTATCCAGTGCATAACACTGCATTTATAGGGGACTATATTGTAGACTTCTTGGGGTCAGGATTGTGTGTATTACTCATGTTTCTATCTCTGCATCCTCCATAACACTTCACACAAGATTTTGTGCATAACAGGTGCTCAATAAATAATTTATTAAATGAATGAGTGAGTGAGTGAATGTCATGCTATATGCACAATTTGATAGCTAGACAGATAAGGTACTGAGTAAGTACTATATACCACGACTTGTGCTAAACACAGGAGATACAATAAAAGATGGGGGAAGGGAAAGATAATCCCCTAATTTCAAGGAACTCTCATTCTAAAGATAATATCTCTCTCATTCTAAAGATAATATCTCGTATCTAAAGATAATAGGTAAAAAGGGGTTTATAGAGGAGAATCTCCTTTCAACAAAGCTTCCATGTTTTCCTATAACTTATATCTTCCTGTGGAAGAGTTTGGTGTCCACAAGTCAATTACTTTGAGTATCTTATTTTAATGACATCATTCTTAAAGGGACAAAGTCTGTCCCTAGAGGGTGGAAAGTGCATTGTGATTACAAATATCATCAACAATGTGTCTTGAGTCTTTTGGTGTATGAAGGTTCTTCTTACCTTAGCTCCATTATTTCTAAGTAATTTTTCAGGAGGAAATTGACGCTATTTGAGCATTTACCATAGAAAACTTAAAATTTGGTCCCTTGGTTTTGCTCTGTTTCAGTTCATAAAACCCAAACCTGTTGGAAAGCCAGCTTCCTAGATAGAAAGACAAGAGAGGCATAATGGTATAGTGGGAAGATGTGAGTTGTTGCCCTGGCTTTAACATTAACTATCTTTGTGACCTTCCAAGAATCACAACCTCCTTGGAATTCTGTGCTCTCATTTATAGAATGAGAGGGTTGGACTATATGGTCTTTGAGGTCCCTTCCAGCTCTAAATCTATGATTCTATGGTCCTTCCTAAGCCTTAGTTTCCTATCTGTAAGATGGAGAGGTTGTACTATATGGTGCTGAGAGTTTCTTTCAGATAGAAATTCTGTGATTCTAACAACACTGGGTCCTTATTTAGGGAAAGGTAAAGTGTACATATCAAAGACTTCCTAATTCAACTAAAGATCCCTTCTTGTCAAGGTAAAGGTATTGACTTCGAAGTAGTGTGTTGCATTGGATAGAGCTCCCCTCCTTAGAGTTAGGAAGACCTACGTTCAAGTACCTCCTCACAGGCTTTCTAGTAGTGTGACCCTAGGCAAGTCACTTCACTTCTGTCTGTCTCAATTTCCTCTTCTGTAAAATGGAGATAACACCTCATAGATAAGGCTTAAATGAGATAATATGTGTAAAGTGCTTTGCAAACCTTAATGTGCTGTGTAAAGTCAGCAGGTTCCATTGCTGTTGGACACTATGAAAGAAAACTTTTGGGATAGGCTTGTAACTCGAAGCAAAAAAAAAAAAAAAATTGGCAAAGCTCATTCCCTATTCCCTAAACTAGGACTGCCCTTTCCTCTTGGTACCTTTGTAATCCTTTTCTATTCAGACACCTCAGTGACTTCCTATGGAGTTGACGCTAAATTTACAGCTGAAGATCAAGGCATGGAAAAAATATGTGGAAATGCAAGCCTAACACCCCCGCCACCTCCCACCCCCAGGAGACTCTGGGCCAGAAGCTCAGTGGGAATGTGAGCCAAAAGACACAAGATTTGAAGCCTTTGGAGGTGACAGTGGCATGCCTGGGCTAGGTTCTTTGCCTGAGGCTGGAAGATGAATCTTGCACTTCCTAGTAGAGCACTGAAATGTAAGACTTACCCGGAAGGGTTTGGCCTCACGGCTCCTTACTGTTGTTGTGAAACAAACATGCTGGGAGAGAAGCCTGGCGGCAGCCATTGTAGCCTTCTGGGTATCCCTTTATTGTTAGCCCACTGAAATTGACCCAGTTCTTTCTGAAGAGGCA